CATCAGACCATTAAAATGGCTTCTGTGTGAGAAAAGTCAACAGCTAGCCTTCCTGAGTATTTTTTGCTTAATATTTTTGTCTTAAGAAGGTACTGGTGTCAAGAAAAATAATACGGTTTGTCATGCTTCTTGCTGTAGCATGCAGCTATCTGTACCTAACACATCATGGATTTTAACTGAAGAGATCTGTTTGTATCAGCTTCTTTGTAGATGTGTTCCTAATTTGTTATCAGATGTTTTCTTTCATTGAATCATTTTCCAATATCTGACAAATACATTGGAAATCTATTTAACTAAATTCATCACAGCATTGAAGAGTGTAGGAGTATTCCCTAGATATAAGATAGTGTAGCTTCATTTTTGATTTTGCATACAATTATCTGGTTTAGGGATTTAAAGTTAAAACTGAACTAGCAATTTTCAGACTGAATCTAATTGTAATTGATAAAATTAATCATATTATTTTATGTGAGAAGTCTAGATTAAGAAAAAAAGGTAAAAAGTGGCCAAATGTAAACCAAAAATGTAATTAATGCCAAAAAGGAAAATTTCTGAAATATGAAGTATTCTTTCTGTGAGATGTTCAGTATTTTATATTCTTCAGTTGCTCACCTGCCATTTACATACACACAATGAAAGGATGTAAGGTAGAAGGAATGAAAAAAATCTATTGTTCAGATAGAGGATATGTTGTCTTGCGCTTTTGGATAACAGCAATGGCTGCAAATCCAGAAAGGCTTGCAGGTTTTGTTTGTTTTTTCTCTTTCTGCTTTATCATACTTGCCTGCTGGTCCTTATATACTGAGTATTTGAAAATACTTTATTAAGAAAGTGTGGTGTAATGCTTACATTCTTCTATTGCAAGTATTAAATAGAGCTGTGTTGATTACACGTCACTTTAAGCAAACAGAAGAAAAATTGAACCAGAGGTTGCGGCTGTGTGCTTTGGAGTTAGTTCTGTAAGTTACAAATTACAGCTTCTCCTTTGGAAAACATGAATCAGTAAGAGGAAAATATTGTTTCCATGTACTTCTTCCATGATAAATTAGTTTATGATGAATCCCATCCTATAGCACAGTTTGTTAAACAGTGCATGTGATCTTTTTTCAAAAAACTTTTTTCAGGCAGTTGGTTATGCTAATTAAAATAGAGATGTGAAAGATATATTCCTCTTAGTAGTTAATGCAGGTGCTTTCATTTGCAAATGAACCTTAAGTTGGTCTGGAGAATTACTTCAGTACTCTTACATATGACTCTCCAGTCTTAGCTGTGGCAGGAGCTTACTTTACTTGGACAAGATGCTCTTGCAGACTTGCAGTAAGTCTTCAAAGCAAAAAAAACCCCAAAACATTGTCATTGCCTCAGCAGAATCTGAACCCTTTGCCCTTTTCTTCTTATTTTAAAGTGATGTGTTGTAAATGATTGCTGTGTTTATTTCCTCTAATTTCTTTTGCCTTTCTCACTGAGGTACGATTTTTTTTTTCCTAGTTGCTTTAAGATGCTTATCAGTGGGTATGTATCTCTGAATAACCAGGTGCAGGAACAATAGTTGTTTCCAATCTGGATGATGACTTTAGGGGTCCAGATGACCCATCATGTGAAATTAATTAGTTGCAGGTTAGTCAATTCCGCCTTGTACGCAATTGTAAATTTTACGGGATTTTTGGAGATGGAGATTACTAGGACTCAATAGATATGCCACGTTTGGTCATACCAAATTATTTTCAACTTTCGGATGAGTGCCAATACTCCAAAAGAATTTAACATCAGCATTAGCTGTGAGTCTGGAGAAAAAAAAAATCTTAGCAGAGTTCTATTTGTATTAATAGTAATCCAAGCTGATAGTAGATGCAGACAGCCAAAGCCTCTTAGGCTGAACACAGTAATACTGTTGTTGTAGCAAAACCTTGGTATACATTAAATGCATAATTAAAACAGATGATATTCTGGTTGAAAGCCATTTGTGAGGTATGTTAATGAACAGAACACCTTGTCGTTCAGAAAAATAATGGTTATTCTGGTCCTCCTGTCTCCAAAAGAAGAAAATTCATCTGTCTGAGAAGAAAGTCATAATAATAGGCTAAAACTCAACTCAACCATGGCCCTCTCCCTTTCCTTTCTCTCCTGTTTCCAGAGGGGCTACCGAGTTTCCTGGGGTACTGTGAAGTTTCACTTTCATGTGAAAAATTGGTTCACTCTCAAATGACCGTTCATTTCAAATGAGCCCAGCTGTTTGGCAGCAGTGTTGGGGGAGGGAAGCTGTGAGGAAAATTTAGTTTCTTAAGTTCAGTCACCAGCACTTGTTAAGCAGCTGAACTTCAGAGAAAGATACTTCCTTCCATTCCCTCCAGCCCTAGTTCACAGCTTTTAAAATGTGGCTATAAAGTTTTTTTAATTCTGAAAAAGTATCCCAGAAGCAAAGGATTCGCTTCTCAGTCCCAATTCCTTTACTGTAAAGCAAAAGTATTCTAAAGTAGATGTTGGCATTTTAATAGAAGAAGAAGGAAGGAAGGGAGGATTTCCTTTGACTTCCTATCCAACTAAAATCCTTAATATGATTTAAAGGTGTGGAAGCTTGACAGTCTTACTGTCATTTTCTGCAGTTCCTGTTTTGGTGCTTTCACTTAGTTCATTAATTTAATGGGTTACATTTTTGAGAGAAGGAAACCCTGATGAGCATCTTCTGGGTCTTGATAACATGTCATGATAACAATTACAAACAAATACAACCCCTGGTTCCAGACCTAGGAATTCCTCCAAAAATCACAAATACAGTATTTTAGGGAGCAGTACAAATGTATTAATGAATAAACAATGTGGAGAAACATAGCAAAAGGCCATATTTAAGGTATTATTTTGTTAGGTTACTTCTGCACCCAAAGCTGTTGTAAGGCTACTTTTGCGAAACGATAGCATACATCTGTGATAGCTAGAAATTGATTATAGTCTGGACTACCATGCTACTATTGTACAAAAAGTCGTTAGCAATCATTGCTTTCAAACATACCAATATTATTTTGTACTATCAGGCAGACAGCTTTGAGTTGACCAGAGGACAATTCCTAGAGCTGAGATATTTTTGCAGTTACAGAAGGAGCTACTGCATCTCATGAAAATGCTGTTACAACTTCACTGAAATGTCGTGGAAGTAATATCTGTGTTTATTTAGTCCTTTTTATTCAGAGAGCTGCCTGTGGTTTTCTGTGGTGTTTGTTCTGACAAGAGTTGGACAAAAATCCAGCCCAAGGAAGCAGGATGTCCTGTGGCTGTGCTGTCAGGTCCTGCCCTAACAAGGAGAATGGCTTGTGTCTTGTAGTGCTTTTCTGCCACCTCTGCCCGGCGAGGGGGAATACGCTAGACAGGCCTGTAAGGAGGAGAGGAGAAGCAGTTTATCTATGGGAATCGTAGGAACAGACAGCATTTACAGTCTGCTGTCTCCAGTCCTGTCCTCTGTCACTGTTGAACAGTTGTTCAAATCCACCTGATGATGGGGCCGGAAGGGTTTATGCAGCCTGCGGTGGGCATGCCTTCTCTGCACAAGCAGGGAAGAACTTGTGCATCCTGGTGAGTTGCTGTGAGAAGAGGGAACTTCTTTCCCATGCCATAGGGCATCAGCTCAGGTTGTGGGCAGAATTAAGATTTTTCTCAGGTAGCATGTGGTAAGGAATCCTGTTCCAAAACTCATCAGAGCTTAGAAGGAGCAAATTTGGCAAGGGGAGTTGAGGCCACCCATGTCTGGTGAAGCAGGGAAGCAGCTTCCTGTACATTATTCCCCACTTAGGTTTCACCCTTCCCCTTCAAAGCTTTATGAGAGATGGTGGCAGAATCCCAGCAGTCCCTGCGCTGAACTGGATGCACTGATGGCAGGAACAATCAAAGAACACAGTATGGTTTTATTGCTAGGTAGTGTTTCCATATGACAATGAAGCCTAATTAAACCACAGCCCTTGTGTCTCTGTATGCCTGGGACAATAGAGGCTAGCTCTTGGTTTCATTCAAACACTAGTGTAATCTGACAGGTGCGTTATGTGCATGCCTAAATCAGTGAATAGTAAAGGGAAATAGTAAGGTGTCATGAAAAGGAAATGGAACCATGAGAAATATTTCAATTATTGTATTTTGTCCTCATGAGTGATTTGGGGATAATGAACTATGAATGTGCATTGAAAACGCTAATACTGCTGGAGTTAAAATTGAAGTGATACTCACAAAGGAAACTTTTTTGTTAAATATATAGTACAAAAGTGAGAAAAAAGTACTATTGTTGGTAGTTTTAAAACTTTATTTGGGGATGATCTAAGCTAAAATTGATTTGTTAATTATAAAACTTTGTGACTCATTAATCATGTTCAGTAAAGTATAAATTTAATTTAGTTAGCTGCAGCGGTGCCTTCACTCTGCACATTATTTAAATTTTGTTACACATTAAGAGAATAATTTTGACACTTGGTATTTACCTGCAGAGACTATGGAAACTGATAGTATACTGCTAGCAGTTCTGTTTGCAGTCTAATACTCATGAAGGTAACTATTTTTAAACTTAATAGCTCCAGAACTGTTAATGGTTACATTTTACTAAATTTTACTGTGGACTGAGTGGACTACTCCAGGTCTGGAATGGGTGTTTGTGGAACCTTACACACATTACTTCTAAATGTCCCATGAAGTAATTGTACTATCTGAGTTAATTTTAGCTGTAATAATGCTGTATGTTTTCTTTGACATCCTGTGGTATGTGCTATCATAGTAAAACTACACAGGAGAGTTTCACATCATGTTTGTAAAAATCATTTAATGGACTGAGTAAATTTGTGTGCATAATCTCACAGCTGTTTAAAACTAATATGGCGTATGAGCAATATGTAACCTACTGGACTAATGCCAAAGCAGTGTACACTAAGAATTGATTCCCTGCTTTATTTAGTTGCTTTCATAATGACATTTTAACAGTTAGGAATGTAAATAAATACTATTTCATTGTATTTTCTTTTCTTTGACAGGACACTACAAGTATAGAAAAAATGTCTAACTGTTGTGAAGACATGTAAGTGCTGTAAATTTTCTACATTTATTTTCTGAAAAGCTAAAGGAATAGCTGCTTTTTTTTAATTGTGTGAGAAAGAAAACGAACTGAAAGCACTGTTAGAATTATTTTGCATGGTACCATGCCTTGTACTTCTACCCCTAGCAGCAGCTCAGTAATCTTTTAATGTTGGTTGTACACAAAGTAGCCCCACAGTATTCCCATTCCTTGAAAAGCCAGTGGAGCTATATTTTCTTTCAAAAGTATAGATCAAAAGACAGTTTCTGCTGTGTCTTGACACACATTTCATTGATTCTGAGGTTCTCTTCTGCTTCAAAAGTTGCCTTCGGTTGATTGACGACACAGATAGTTTCTGTTCTCCAAAGTTAAGTCACAGCTGCATGCCGTAATGAAAGAAAAGCTGAATTTGTGATGCTGGGGTACAATTCATCAGAGTCCAGTAATGGATCCCCAGCCAACCTGCATTGTTCTAGCTGACTGAAGTGCACCGTGGGCGTGCTGTCTTTCACTAATAATGCTGTCTTCTGTAGATCGAGGCCCCGAAAGCCATGGCAGCAGATCTTCTCAGAAGTTTTTGGCACTCACTGGAAGATCCTGTGGTTTATTCCTTTCAGGCAGAGGCAACCACTGCGAGTTCCCTACCACTTTGCCAATCACGTCTGAACAGATGGATGGTGGGCACAGATGGGTCCTCCATGCTGGAAGTGCGTTACAGGTTTTATGATAATAGGACTATGACAGTCTTCAAGTCAATTAAAATCCACCCACCAATCGTAAGCATCACAATGTGCCCCAGGCTTTATTTTAATAGTGGTCTTGATTCTGTTCTGAGATTAATACAAGTTGTATGTTTAACTTTAGGCATATTTACTTTCAAATTAGCTTTCCAAGGGGATTTCTTTTGTCTTTGAGGTTAATACCAAAACCAAGTGACTCGAATGCAGTCTTCCTCTATTTGTTTGATTTTGATTTGGTAGGAAACACTGAAGTTTACATTGATTGTAAGCTTTCCCACTAAGTGTCTTATTCTGCCTTGAATTTTTTTTAGTCTTTTCAGTAGGTCTGTGTAGATAATATTCATGTCTTTTTTCTGCTACATGTGTTTAAATTCCCCAATACTGCCATTTATTTATGATATGCAGTAGTAATCCTGCAGCACCACACTATAAAAGGCAACATTTAAAACTGAAGCAGACTTCTTCCTAAACGTTTCTCAGAGAGGTTTTTATAAATACACGTAAATTTGTGTGTTTATGTAGAGATATCTTACATGTTACAGTTATTGTTCTGCATAGATATGATCTTACTGAAAAATATTCATGTCTTTATGTCAACAGAAGTGATAAAATGTTCCAGGGTAAAATATGCAGACAGAAAGCATGTTTTCCCTATATCCCAAGGATTTCTTTGCAATAATTCAACAAAGAAGTTGTATGGTGCAAATACTAGAATGATTACTTTTTAAAAATAAAGATTTAATTAGTTAGTGTAATGTACCATAAAGAAGAGTATATTGCCAGTAAAGTTATAAATTTTGTATTTACTTTTGTTTAGTCATGATTAGCTGGAGTTGGTCTAAGTGTTTATATATGGGAAATATATGTGAAAATATTTTAAAATATTTATACATAAATACTGATATTTGCTATTAGCATGTAAAGTGTACTAACTGATTTAATAGGATACTATGCTGATGAATGATAGCTTGTTGTGGGCCCTTTAAGTATGGAAGTAGTTAACCAAAGAAAGCATCCTTAAGGTTACATCTGATAAAATGATGATGATTCCCAAAGTACTGGCTCAGCTTTGCTGTATCTGGAAAAATTATGTCATTTATTATAGCCCTCTGTATCTATACAAATAGCAGCATGAGATGTTTGTGATTTTTGAAAGTTCTGTGCATTTCTATGAGAAATTCACAGCTTCAGTGTTTTCAGTTATGCTGCTTACTGTGTTTGTTTTCTAGTCTACCAGGATAAGGATCCACCTTAAATGACAGCCATGCAACAGGATAATAAAAGGCACAAAATCAGGATGTAATATACATAGGTTGCGTTTGGAGAGAGTAATAGTTTGTTTGTGAACAGTTCATTCAAAAAGAAGGGCTAGATTTGTCATGAGTGGTATTCATAATGAATTTTTAGATCAGCTCTTTTAAAATCTTTATGGAGTCACTGCCAATGATGGGTGTCCCTTTATTGAATTAACAGATTTTGATGATCCATTGAGAGTTCCAAAAGGTACATCTCAAAAATCACTAGAATTTTAAACTTTTGTAAACTTCTAACATTTGAATCAACTTTAATTTCCCTCTCCTTTTAAAAATAGATGCAATATTTTCTTCATTTAAATTTCAAGCCTAATATTAAGCCATTTTTTCCTGGCATTTTTAGATGTGAGTTTAGACTTTCTTGAAGATGATATTTGCAGCAATATTTAAACAATTGAAAGCTTGAGGAAAGGCTGGAACAGTGCTTGAAATTAAAAAGAATGTGCATATATGTTATAAAGTAATGGCTGTATCTCTCTTTTTTAAAGGAATTCCACTATTATAGTCTCTCTGAAACACACAGGGAAATAATAGCAGTTTTGGTTTCTGTGCCAATATTTAAATGTTTTGAGAGCAAACCAGTAGTTTTTTAAAAGTTTTGCATGCTAATCAGTTATCATAGTTAGCAGATTATACAGTTCTTAAGTTTATTAGGAAAGAGGATCAAGAATTTTACTATTCTTGATACGTTCACTGTGAGGGCATAGAATTCTTCTGTTTTCTAGTATCGTTACAGTTAATTTAACCATGGACAACCACATCTGTAATACAGAATCTGCACAACGGTAGGAACCTTAGTTATAAACAGTGTAGGTAGGTTTTGTACATGATATGCAGTGAAGTAATGGGACCGTTAAATTTTGCCTGCTTTAAGCGGATAAAAATCCAGCAGCAGCCCAAATGTCATAATGTGTTCTGTATTCCAGTATTCTCAAACAAAAGAAGGTACCGAACGTAAGAAACCAATGCTGACGTGGCACAGATTGGGATTAAACGTGCGCTGAATATACTACAGACCGTAGACACAAACGTCCACGACGTGCCGCTGATGCGGGTGGGAGGTGCCCTGTGGGGACGCACGCCGTTTTGGGAGAGTGGGCGGCGGCGCGTCCTCCCTCGCTCTCCACGCGCCCTCTGTCGGCTGTCTTGCGCAACGACAGCGCGCGCTTGGTCCGGAGCAGGGGCGGTGCACGGCTGCCAGCGTCGTTGTGACGCAGCGGGTATAGGGAAGAAGACTCGGGTGGTTTGGGGCGGGGTGGGTACCGTGGGTGAGGCTGGCTTCTCGGTAGTAAAGAACGTTTCAGGTGAGCAGACCCTGCCTCGGGCCTGCCGCAGGTGAGAGTGCAGCATGCCAGGTTTATCTGGGAAATATCAGACCCATTCGACTTCCCTTTCAAACAACCAATTAGAAATTAAAATTTTAAAATCTGTAAATTCCAAAGTGCTTACTTAAATGACCAAAAGAAGAACCTTGAGGCTGAAGTGCATTCATTTAAGTAAAGCATACATTTAAGTAAATGATGTGCATGGAAATCTTGCCAGATTCTCAAATGAAAATGGTAATTTCACAGATTTAACAATTTCTCAAATGTTCTTCTATTTTTGGATTTATTTTTTTTTGTAAATATGTTTTTAATCAGTCTGTCATTCATCCTTAACATTAGGAATCAATATGTAATACGATTAAGGCACCTATTTTAGGTCTTACCCCATTTCTGAGTATGTGGAGGAGAGAAGGGAGAATTCAGAGAGGCTTCATTTTTAGGAGGCACCGAGGTTTACTCTTTGAATGACAGGCCTCTGAAAGTGTAAAAGTAATCAAAATATTTTTCAGAATTCTAGCCAATGACTCATGTTATTAGTTTATTAGAGTAATGTTTTTGACACTGATTGTCAGAGTTGCTCCAGCAGAAAAAGACGAGGTAGAGTTTTATGATCTGATTTGAAATCCTTTAAACCTTGAAATCCTTGAAATCCTTTGAATCCTTAATTTGAAATCCTGCTTCTTTCCCTCCGGCTCTTGTTCATGCTTTTTTATTTTAGTAGAAACTGCATTCTTAAGACTAAATTAGTGCTTGTCATTATTACTAATTTAAAGAATCTTATAGACAGTATTAATGAATTTGATCCTAATATAACATCAGGACTACACGTGCTTTACTGAGCACAGTGGATATTAGCTATGAACTTAACAACATTTGATTTCCTGAGAGGTACAAAGAAAAGTCAAAGCACTAATTAAAAACAACCTGAAAATATTTGAAAATAGCTGGTTTATTTACAGTATGGGGTAGCTCCTGGTAGAACTGAACAATGCTGCTTTGCTATCATAGTATCAGAGATTTGAGATTTCATTTGAAAAATCTTGGTGTCTAAAATAAAAGATTCTGCATTAAATAATGTTTACCATTATTTACCTGAAGGACAGGTTTCATCAAACAGCTGGTAGAGTAGTTGAGATATGCAATCATTTTCAGTCTTGAGGAGGATTCACAAGTAAGAAACTAAGAATGGAGTGGTAGGATAGATTTTGAACTGGGCAGCTTCCTAGTTTTGAATCTAAAGTGGGCTAATGGGAAGGGAAGATTCATAAAAGCACAGAGAAAATGGAGACGGGGCAAAAAGAATTGTTGTGATTCACTACTAAAGTTTACCAAATTAAGTGAGATTGCAAAGAGCAGGAGTTACGCAGTTAAATACACATGCCGTCGTTATATGATGTCTTTCAGTGTTCATCTTACAGTTGTCTAGTTTTATTCAGTAAATGATACTTTGAGGAGATTATGAATTCATGGCAGGCCATTGTATGCCAAGATAAGGATTGTAGGTGGCAAAGACAGGATTTCTGCAGTAATGTGAAAAAGAGTCTTTTTCAAGTCAACTTTGCATTCAGATGAAACATAGGATAATAAGATGAGTTTTCTGGTAACCTGGACTGGTTAGTTAACATAGACCACTTTTTTTTTGTAATGCATTATTTACCGTATTTGGCCAGCCTTCCTGCCGGCAGTACATCACTTATAGCAGAATGTTGCTGTCACATATTTGGGGATGCTGTCATTTAGATGTATTATTTAGCTTGGCTATCTCCACCCTTTCTTTGTCTTCACCACACACTGAATTTTGCTGCAGCTCACAAATAAGAAGCCAATGTCGCTTTGTTGGAACAACCCTATCACAAAGACAAATACTGTTCACTGGCTCTTCTCAATATCCCAACTGGAAATGCCATTGCCTACCTTAAAAATGTTTTCTTTGTGTGGTGTATTTTCTTGATCTTTCTGGACAAAAATCGATGCTTATTCTACATATATTTCCATCAATAATACTGTATTAGCACTTCTAAACTATTCCTAAAATAAAAACTAAGAATACTTTCTGAAGAATAAGAGTTGCATAAAACAATGTGGATCTTAATTAGTACCACCTAGTCCTTCTCATTCAATCCTGTACTTCTACAGTTGTGTTATGTGTGCAAGTATAATAAATTGATTTTTTTTAGCATTGTGTGTAAGAAATACACTTTTATTCATAGTCTTGTAACAGATTGAAAGTTAACTGTCAGAAGACAAAGGTACTGTTCTGGTTGTTGCACTTCAAGAAATTACTAGCT